CCCCAAAGCCCTGTGAAAGCAAACAGACATTTCCTCCCTGGAAGGATTTTATGTGTAAAAGCCAACGTGGAAATGCACACAGGCTTGGGCTGTGAGACATAGATCATGGTTCCCCTCACTAGAGTAAAGGGGTAGCTATGGACTGGAGCACTGTCTGTCCCTTCATCATAGCAGCCTCTGCCAGCATCGTCTTCGACCACCTCGCAGAGCCTCACAGCCAGGCCATGCCCTGGGCCGCATTCATGCATTAAATATCACCAAAACAACAAACCCACACTGCTCTAACGCTCCACAACTGCAGCCACAATTATGTTTTGCTTTTCCATAAGGAGAGCGTTCGGCAAAGTACATCACAGAGCACTGCACTACCAGAAGCCCCTTGAGTTGATGCCACATTGAGAGGGAGCACAGAGTCATCATTCAAGCATGGCACTGCTTTTTACTTTGGTTTACCTCTTTCCTTGGGTGACTCCCACCCACAGCACCTGTATTGCTGAAAAGGCTTTACCCCAAGGAAAACACAGCTCAACCCAACTGCCCTCAAAGCAAGCCCCCACCTTCCCACGCAGAAGGAAGCTGGTGGAGGAAAAGCGCTGGACAAGAAACATTAAAACTTCTGTTTTCATCGTCGAAACTGCAAAGTGACAGTAGTTTCAGGTTACATCCTAAACCTGCCTTGCTATGGTAGTTTTTCAAATTAAAATATCTTCTCTGGCCTCAGCCACTCTCGAGGCATCCATAGGCAAGAAAGAAAGGAGGCAGGGCAACACTTAAGCTCAGCCATAATTGGAAGTATGTGAAAAATGAAGTGTCAGTTCGGTCAATAAAGGGCAAAGGTGAAGGGGAACTGCAGCCCAAACTCGGTGCGAAATGTGCTCATTAAGACACCCAATCCGCGGGCTCCTGCCCACCTATTCCATTAGTCATCGGCCATCTGACCGCTTCAAATGCCTTGCCTCCCTGCTCTTATTACTTTTCTTCTCCCATGTTAAAAAAAAAAAAAAAAAAAGGCAAGCTGGTATATAAATCCTTGCTCCATCATCTGGAACATAATGTGGCCCTTCTCTCCCTCTCTGCCCAGCTCTGCCGCCTGCCTTTGCAGCCTTCAACCAACCACCCTGAGAGTCCCAGCAATAATAAACGCTGTTGCCTTTTTGCCCATAGGTTGCCCAAACTCCTACAAAAGCCTGAAAAAAATCATTGCAGCCACTGATACATTTTTATAAAGAAATATTGCCGCTTTCTACTCCTGGCTTGAAAGAACAACAGTTATTTGGAGGTTAAAAAAGTGTTTTGAACCCTGGCTGAGATTTGCACACAAAAAAAAAAAAAAAAGAAAAGAAAAGAAAAAAAGGATAGAAACAATATGGGTAAATAGGAGATACTGAAGGATTATTTTTATTTTCAGTCATGTAGGAGAGCTAAACATGGGAATTAAAGAGGATTAAAATTGACTGTACCAGGGCCTTGTTCAGTATCCTCCTGGCCTGACCATTTGAAAAACAAACAAAACAGATATGTTAATACCCCTAAATGGGAATATTTTAAAGCTAAAATATGCACTAAGATAAAACAGCATTGCTGTGAGCTCAGCATCACCCACCTGTACCTGAGAACTTGCTTCTTTCCCTTTTAAAACAATTTAGCAAGTTACTTCTCCAGTGTGTAAATTCAGATCTCTTTGTGCCATTTGGAGACACACCTCCAAAGGCCCTTCACGGTAAATTCAGAGCAATGGGAAAACAGCCCATGAAACTTCTCCATAATATTATTCTGCATTCCTGTACTATAACTATCCCCTATGATGACACAATACTGGGCCTTTATAAGAGGTTGTGTCAACGTGCTATGCAATAACATATCCTGCTGTTCAGTGGCACGAGACCCCAGAACAGCTTCCTAGCAGTTAAATATGGACTTCTACAATAGATTGAAGCAGCTGGGAGTCATTACTATTTACTCAGTAAGTAAATTTACATGTTAAAAAAGACCTCAAAATGTTTTAAAGAAAGAGTATCTCTCCTGTTTTGAGAAGTAATTGGTCAATATGTGTTGTACACATTACTAGGTTAAGAAATGCACTTTGGGGGATTAAAAGCAGAGAGAAAACAGGTAAAGAAGAGAAATTTCAAAAAATAGACCTTAACATAGTCTGGGTTAAGGACTAAGGGAGAAAATTTGCCAAGAGGCTTAAGTTTTTGAGTCTGTATGTCACTCCACAAAAGTAAAACTCACATTCACATCCTTGTGCTACCTTTAGCCAGGTTGTCAAACCAGCCCAGAAGGTGCTTTTACCTACTCCAACAGGGTAAGAAGGTTGTGGGAGCAACCTAAAAATACACAGTTTTAGAGGGCTATATTTCTGGTGACTAGATTAGTTTTTTAAAATGGCAAACACGCTCTTGACAGATGGAACCAAAAGGCACTTTTACAAACTCCTAAAAATAGGGAAGCCCATAATACACTGAATATATGTCAGGCAGCATGTACATATTGAGTTAACTCCTGTGCTCGCAAGCACGAGCAGGCAGATCCCCAGCCTTCCGCTGCCACCCCTCCGCACCACCCGACTGCTGCAGCAGTGCCACGCCACCTGCTTCTCTTGCCCAGAAAAGCACACCACCAAGGTGAACATAAGAGTTTGGCCACAGTGTGGCCAATCCTTACATCAGGCCACAGAGGAAAAGCCTCTAAATCATAGCATTTTGAAGTTAAATGTGGTTGGGGAGAGGTAGGGTGTTTGCTGTCTCTTTTTTCTTTTCCCTCTTGATCATTTAGTGTCATTGTTTTTTGACTGCTTCTGCCATGTGGGAAGGCTAAAACCATGCTCTTTTTTAACAAGGTGTACATGCAGAGGTAGGTGTGCTTAAACAAATGAGATTCCCCCATCATTTCAGCCTTCAGAGAGCTTTGAGCAAACAAGATATAAATCAAGGCTCAGCACGACTGCTACCCTTCTTGCATCCTCGTTCCTCAAAAAAACTGGCCATTTCCATAGGTGACAATTGGCCTGAAGGCAATTCTCAGTAATGGAGACCCCCTGGACAGGGTATCCTTTCCACTACCCACTTCCCAAACTTGACCTGAGAGCTCAGTAAACTCCCACTTTATTTACTCTTTCCTAAGCTTTTAATGCAATGAGCCTTCTTCATAAAACACATTAATGAAGAGCTAGCAGCAATTCCAGCCTTAATAAACTTTACTTGGGGATTTGGGTAAAAGTCTCCGAATCAGCTAAAGCATCGTTGACAGGTATTTCTGTCGATCTTTTAAGAGGACTCAAGCTCTAAAGTTACTTTACACAACCCTTCCTGACCGAGGCTACAGCATGCACCTTGCTAGGAGCCGACCAGGATGGCAATGATAAAACAACAGGTAAGACTGGCACTCTGGACTAATAAAATGACACATTTAGGAGAAAACAAACCCCGAAAATATTTAGAAGTACACCAGGAACTAGGAAGCTCGATTTCCAGACTGCCCAAGACCTTTAGGAGCATGACGTTTAGCAAGCCTCCCCGCAGATGTTTTGTCCACGCACATATAAACATAAACACGCGCACATCCGCTTAATAAAAGAACTGCCCTATGCAAGTACAAAACCCCCCTCCAAACACCATGTTTTAGTTCAAAGCCTATTTTTGCAGCAGCTTTTTCACTCTTAAAAAAGCCATGGATTTAAAGTTTGCTCTGAAAGCAAGGGGCTCTAATGAACATGTTGACACCACTTCAACTATAGCATTGTGAACAGCACCACTAGAACATATACGTATACATACTTGAAAGAAAAAAGGCCCCCTGAATTTATGTTGCATATCATTTTCCAGTAAAAGTCAGAGGTCAGAAGGTTACCAGTTTGTGCCTCGGCTCTGCAACAGTTTACTATTCCAGGCCCCATTTTTACTAGGCTATGCTTGCGATGAAGTCAGCAACTTTTCTTTAAACAATAAAGTGTCTCAAATACTTAAAATTCTATAAAGAGATTTTATTCACCATGTACCTTAGGTCCCTGTGTATAAAAAATTAAAATATACTGGTTTAGCTTAAAAACTAATCTTGTTAAATGCAGACTTTGCAATGCTAATCAGTACTGCTCAACCTTTTTTTGGAAACACAATTCCTTTGTTGTCTAACAGCACTTGAATGAAACATGATCATAAAACCAAACTTAAAAGTATATACCTATTGTGAGTTCAGAGTCAACTTCAATAAAGCACTCTCTTTTATATTCAGATTAAGGACCTTCTTTAAATTTTAATTGAATTAAATTAACACTAAATCTACTGCAGTTGGTCTCTTCAGAAAAAGTATGAAGCATTTATACAGCTTCTCAGAAAAACCCAAAACATTAGTTTTTTAGACTTTGGAGCTTCTGAAAGATCACTAATTATTTGTAGTACGCCCCACTTCAACTGCATCAACCTTGTTTCATACTCAGTCTGCTAAATCAGTTACTCTGTTTGGCCTGGCACTCCAATAAAACCTTTTTGCATTCAAGTAAATTGAAATTGAGTAAAAAAACTAAATAAACACACTGCTCAGGATTTTGTAAAATGGGCCAGCTAACATCTTTGCTTCACAGGCAGCAAAGTTTTGATGGCATCTTTAAAATATTAGCATGCATTTCTGCAACCTTAATTACATTTGCTTTTGAAGATTTCATCTTTTAACCCATCTGAATGAAGAAAAAAAACAAACACAACAAAACAAAAAACAAACCCTTCTCATTGCTTATTTTTATTAAGCATCCTGCAAATTTGGTACATATGTTGCTCTAACATGTGCCTGCTGGCAAGGTCGAAGAAATAAAGATGCCAATCCTTTTACTAGGAGGAGACGGAAAAAAAAAAAAAAAAAGTCTAAAAAAAGGCAGATAGACCTCTCTGAGTACAAAACCCCTGGTACCTGAGCAAATTTCAACATCAGCAAGAGAGTAACCAGTCCCTGACTGCATCGGTGACCACTCGCCAGCTAAGAAAATGTGAGGGCTTCGTTCCTACCTTGCTCACTGCTGTTGTCCCCGCTGTGCGATGTGTGTCCCCCGCTGGAGGGCCCGGGGGTTCCCCCAGAGCGTGTTGATGCCGTATCATCATGGTCTCTGTTCCAGGATGG